CGCTGTGCCAGCGGCGCCGCTCCCGGAGCCCTCCGTCCCTCGGTCTCTGTCGCGGTCAGACTCCGGTAGAGGCCTCCTGCGGCCCAGCTCACGGACGCGCAGCTCGGCTTTCTCAACGCCCGTCAGCCCGGGCGCTGTCCCAGCGGGGCCAGTGCGGGCCGGTCGGGCCTCTGCCTGCTCGGCTCGCTCGCTCCTGCAGCAGAGGCCCGGCCCCCGTGCGCGGCCCCGTGCTGGGCTCCGTCCTCAGCCCAGCGGGCGGGAGTCCGCAGGCAGACGCGGCCGACCGGCAGCCAGGGTGCGGTCGGCACCTCGGGGCTGCGGACGCTGATAAGGCCCCACCGACGGGGCGGCTGCCTGGAGCCCGGGGCCTGGCCCGCGGAGGCTGGAAGAAGGAGCACCAGTCACCTTCTCGACCAGGCCACCGGCCCGTGACCTGGAGGCTGGCCTGTCCTCCCCGTTGTCTCCTCTGAGCCCCAAAGGCCCGGGAGACAGACCGGCAGAGCTTCCTGCTTCCTTAATACCCGTGGAAAGCTGAGGCCCGGGGCTGGGCGGTGGAGCAGGGAGGAACCCAGGCCTCCCTCCCAGCAGGGCCCTGGCTGTGGCCACGGGAGGATGGGGACCATCTCTGGGGAGAGTGACGGCCTCCACACTTCTGTCTCACTCACATCTGCCACTGGTAACCCGCAACACGGCCTGGCCACAGGGCTGTCAGGGGGGCTTGCTGGAGGGAAGGAGGGAGGCGCCCAAGACCATGGAGCATGTTCAGTGGAGACAGAAGGTACAGAAAAGACCAAATCGTCCCCGAGACGTCCAGCACAGCCTAGGAATGCAGTCTAACTATGTACGGGGTCCGATAGGGTGAGATTTATCAGGACCGTCGCTTCAAAAGTTCCATGAATGTCTAATCGCTGTGTTGTACACCTGAAACGAAAAACTATGTCCACTGTAATCGGGAAACATTTTCATTTTTTAAGGCCAAATCAAACTTCTAAAGGTGAAAAATATAATGTCGGAACTGAAAAACACACTGGCTGAACAGCGGGTTAGACACAGCAAAAGAAAGTGAAGTAGGAGACATGGACAAGAAACTGAGCCCTAACCGGTGTGGCTCAATGGATAGAGCCTCGGCCTGCGGACTGAAGGATCCCGGGTTCGATTCCGATCAGGGGCATGTTCCTTGGTTGCGGGCACGTCCCCAGAAAGGGGTGTACAGGAGGCAGCTGATCGATGTTTCTAACTCTCTATTCCCTCTCCCTTTCTCTCTGTAAAAAATCAGTAAGATACATTAAAAAAAAAAAAAACTAAGTGAAACATGGAGAGAAGAGTCTAGAAAAGAAGGAACAGAGCTCCAGTCAGCAGTAGCACAACTTCAAGAGGCCGAATATGTGTGTAATCAGAGCCCCTGACCAGGGAGGTGGAGTTGGGAGGAGGACAGATATACTGTTTGAAGATATAATGTCTGAAGGTGTTTTATTTTCAAGTTTGATGAAAACCACAAATCCAAGTAACTGGTTTGCTACTGGGCTCTGGTACAAATGGAATGTTCCTATGGGCCATCGAAAGTGACTGAGGCCAGAACTGCCATCGCTGGGTTCCGTCAGACCACCGCCACATCACGTCGGTAGGTAGATCCAGGAAGTGGTAGATCCAGGACTGTGTTCAGGCAGGTGCGGAGGTAGGTGGTCCAGTCCCATGTCACCTGCCACCATCGCACCAGTATCTGTCGATACCTGTGGTCTCGGGGATTCCCCGTGACGGTGACTCCATCGGGCAGTGTTTTCCGGGCGGAGGGATGGGCCTGCCAGCACCGAGGCAGAGCTGGATACAGAGGAGTCGCCCTCGAGGGGATCACACTGCTGGGTCACAGCCAGAGACAGAGGCGGTGGCCCTCCCCTCGCTGGTCCTCTAGACACAGATTTGATTCAAATGCCAGCTGTGCCCCATACTCCTGTGTGGCCTTGTGTCCTCTGGGTCTCCCCTCCATAGACCAGGCTCAGTGAGCACTGAGCAAGAAGCCCAGGCCCCAGGCCTTTTCCTCCCTGGGGCCCTGTCAAAGCCACCCACCCATTCCCGGTAAGGTACCGGAAGCCCTTCTTGGACCAGCAGGGGGCGCCCACACAATGTGACCCAGAGGGAGGGGGAGACTAAGGGCTACTAAAGACTTGCTTTGTGAGGTCTCTTCTGGTTCTAAAAACATCTTTTTATAATAAAAAGTCTCTAATAACAGAAGATGTAGAGGTTCACTGCACTCTCTCACCAACTGCAGGAAAGGTAAAACCAGGTCAGCCCTGGGCTTGGAGAAGCTTCCCAGCCCAGGAATGCACCCCATCTCTGAGCACACCGGGATCTGGGCACCCCGCAGTAACTGTCAGAGGCCATGAGGGGTGGTGGGGAGCTAGCCAGAGCGTAGGGTCTGGGCTGAGAGGTGGAAGGAGATCAGGTAGCAAAGTTGGAACTTGAATCCAGACCTTGGCCTCAGTTTCTCACCTGTAAAATGGAACTAACAGCAGCTGCTTCTCCAAGCAAACTATGTCAAGGGCCCAGCTCAGCGCCTCGAGCACAGGAAGTGCTCACTAGGTGGTACAGAACATTCAAGGCAGGTTTCAGCAGGGAGTGGGGCCCGTCTGCCTGGCTTCATGCTGGAGGACCATGCCTGGGATCCCATCTGCCACCCCCAACGCACACACTCTTGCAACTGAGGCCCTGAGCCCAGGAATAGTTCACAAAGAGGCAGACCCAGGGCCTGGGAGGAGCGAGGCCAGGCCAGACTCTGGGCTGGGCCTTAGGCAACCACAGGCCTCATCTGTCCTGGCAGCTAGAAGTTCCTATCACGTGGCTCTGGGCCCCAGAACCTCAAAATCTTCCAGCTCAGGGTCTTCAAATGCTTCACCCACTGAGCTGTCTCCGAAGTGGCTGCATGTTGGCTAAAAGCTATAGTGACCTGGGTCCTGCCTCACATCACCAGCGTGGAGGACCCCGGGCACCGGCTAGAAGCTGTTCTCTGACCCAAGTCCCCATTTTAAAGTTTTACACATGCCGGGACGGTGTGGCTCAGTGGTTGAACATCAGCCCCTGAACCAGGAAGTCATGGTTCGATTCCCGGTTAGGGCATATGCCCAGTTTGTGGGCTTGATCCCCAGTGAGGAGTGTGCAGGAGGCAGCTGATCAGTGTTTCATCAATGTTTCTATCTCTCTCTCCCACTCCCTTCCTCTCTCTAAATTAATCAATAAAAACATATTTTTAAAAAATTTTACAGGAAGGGAAGTTGCAGCCACAGTGGAGAAGGATGTGCCTCACTGGGTTCCCCAAACAAGTGCAGGGCAGAGGGCAGAGGGCGGAGAGCTGTGACTGCAGGCACAGGATTGGTTTTCCAGAGCCGCTGCAGGACATGGGAAGCTCCCTGTCCCAGTGCCCCAGACTCGATGGTAACTGCACCGAGCCTCACCCCAGGAGGCCTTAGAGGAAACATCTGCAGACAGCGGGGACACTTGGTTCCTGGAAGCAGATGGCCACTGTCGCCCCTGCACCCCCCAGCACCGTAGGGGCGTGGCCTCCCGCATCAGCTGACCAGCTTCATCTCTTCCCCTTCTCCAGCTGACCACCCCACCCCAGAACACGTCCAGGTGCGGGGAGGAGTCCAAAGGGCCTCCTCCAGGGGACAGTGGGCACAGTGCTGTTCGGGGTCTGGGCTTTACACAGCGAATGCCTTTCCCCAACTTAGAGTGCAGCGAGGATTAGATGATCCTGGGGTCCCTGCCAGCCCTGACCCCCAGCTGAGGCTGCTTCCCACACAAATAGATCCCGCCTGGCTGACCTGCCAGGGAGTCGCCGGCTGGAAATCCATGGCAGGAAGCGAGGGATGGATCGGGGCTGGCCCATCCCCGTGTGGCCTGGAGGACTCAGCCATCCGGGTGCCACCATCCCCACCTACCCTTGGCCAACTCAGGGCCCTCTCTTCCTGCCCCTCTGTCTGTAGTGGTCACTTCCCCCTACAGGTCTTCCTGGAGCCCCAGCAGAGCCTGGCACGCGGAGGGTGGGCGGAGCCGGACTGCTGCACTCGCGTCCCATCCATTACTGGCTGCGAACCCCAGCAGGTCATTTAGCACCTGCGCCAGGAGGTGGGGAGACCCCCTGGATGTCGGTGTGGGTCCTCAGTAGGGCCGGCCACCCCTCCTAGCCAGTGAAGCCCGGCCACCGCAGCAAAGGTCACCTGTGCTTTATTGTGCAGCAAAGGCCCCTGCGGGAGCCAAGTCTTAGCGTTCCTGGGGGTCCTGGGGCCAGCCCCTGCCCCCACCCAAATGCCCAAGCCCTGCCCAGCCCCCTGCCCCGTGCAGGGTGGGTGCGCTGGGGGGACCGGAATTCCTGTCCGTGAAGCGCAGGCAGGGCTTCGTCCAGGGACCCCGGGCTCCTGGGAAGTGCGCGGGGTGGGATCCGAGAGCCTCCAGCCCTCTAGTCCGCCTGCTGGGTGGGGCCTGGCCTGGCCGATTCCACAAGATGTCTGTTGGGAAGCCTCCTTCCAGAGCTCCTCCTCCCAGGCAGGCCAGCCTCATGGGCATGAGGAGGTGGCCCCTGGTCACCTCTGCCGGCAGCTCTGGCGCAGGCGTCACCTGGGCCCCGCGTAGCCGTAGGGGTGCTGCAGCAGCAGGCTCTGGTGGCTGGGCAGCGGGTGGGTGTGGTAGTGCTCCACCAGGCTGCCCACGCTCACAAACACGACCTCGGCCTCCAGGTAGAATTTAGAGTCCTGGGGGCAGGAGAGCGAGGTCAGGGGGGCTGGGCCAGCTCTCCACCCCTGCAAAATGGGGCGGCCAGCCCTAAGGACAGGCCTGCTCCTGCTGCCTGTTCCCTCCCCTGTTCCCTCCTCTCCGTGCAAAACGGGGCGGCCAGCCCTAAGGACAGGCCTGCTCCCGCTGCCTGTTCCCTCCCCTCTGGGGCGGCCAGCCCTGCTCCCACTGCCCGTTCCCTCCCCTCCGTGCCTTGCCTGCCTCCCAGTTCCCGCCTCCCTCCCCCGCTTCACCAGGGGATCAGGCCAGGCTGTAGATAAGCTGGGTCAGGAGCTGGTCACCCTACCCCCTCTAGCTCACTGAGGACACAGCTAGGCCAGGGAAGGGGGAGGCTGAGGGAGTGGGGGAGGGATGGTGCCCGCAGGTGCCAGCCTCAGCCTGCCCCCTGCCTACACTCTAGGGCAGGGGTGGGGACCTGGTTTCTGCCAAGGGCCATGTGGATATTTATAACATCATTCGAGGGCAATACAAAACTATCAGCTTAAACATCAGCCTGCTCTACTTGGTCAGACAGGTAACTCGCACCTCATCATCCGGTTCAGCAGGGCCTTATAAGGCCCGCTGGCCAGCGGATGCTGCCCATCCCTGCTCTTTGGGGAGACTGTCCGGCCCCCAGCCACACCCCTTCCCGCTCAGGGCCCTCAGCCAGCCCGCTTACCTTCTCAAAGATGCGGTAGTTCCTCACTTTGTTGGAGGTTTCATCCCACACGACCAAAACCTTGAGGAGAAAAGCAGCAGGCAGGGTGAGGGCAGCTCTGACCGGGAGAGCCGGGCCTCGGGGACCCAGGGGTGAGCGGCATCAAGGCTGAGTGCCCTGGCCCTCGGGGACGACGTGGGGAGGGGCGCCCTGCCCTCAGATGGCCTCCGATGAGACTCGAGGGTGCCTGGTCCACCAGGACCGTCTCTGATACACATGGGGAAACTGAGGCTCAGTGAGGGACACAAGTCGCCCCTGGAGGGGCAGAGGCCCAGCTGGCAGACGACCTGCCGTTGGCCCTGCCCCAAGCAGCCTCCCCTTCAGAGTGCAGGAACCCCCATGGGAGGCCAGGGCCCCAGCCCCCCTTCCCCCAATCTGCAGATGGTATCTCCTTCCTGAGAATAAATGGGGCGGGGGCTGCCAGGCAGAGACCCCAAGGATGGCACTGGGTGGAGGGGCAGAGGCTCATGGGAACGCGGCCTGTCGCCTGGTGTGCCCGCCGCAGCCTACGTGGGGAGGGCCAGCAGACCCAGCACGACGCAGCCAGCCCCAGGGCGTGGGCTTTGGCAGGCTGGCCGCCAGGCTCCTCCGTGGCACCTACCTTCCCGGACTTGGTGGAGGAGTTGCGGATGCAGTAGAGTCCGTCCTGGGGCTCTCCCCGCGGGCTCGTGGCTTTGAACAGCCTGAAAATTAAGTCAGCAGGTGACCCATCTTCAGACGGCTCCCTGGGGACCCTCCAGCCCCAGGCCCATGTGGCTTTGTCCTCTCGCTCTCCTGCAGCTCAGGCACCATGAGCAGTGGGTGCAGGGAGCAGTGGGTGCTGATGACAGTGGGTGCCAGGAGCAGTGGGTGAAGGGAGTAATGGGTGCTGAGAGCAGTGGGTGCAGGGAGCAGTGGGTGCAGGGAGTAATGGGTGCTGAGAGCAGTGGGTGCTGAGAGCAGTGGGTGAAGGGAGTAATGGGTGCTGAGAGCAGTGGGTGCTGAGAGCAGTGGGTGAAGGGAGCAGTGGGTGCAGGGAGCAGTGGGTGAAGGGAGCGGTGGGTGAAGGGAGTAATGGGTGCTGAGAGCAGTGGGTGAAGGGAGCAGTGGGTGCAGGGAGCAGTGGGTGCAGGGAGCAGAGGGTGCAGGGAGCAGTGGGTGAAGGGAGCAGTGGGTGCCGAGAGCAGTGGGTGCTGAGAGCAGTGGGTGCCGGGAGGGCCAGCCCAGGGTGATGGCAGAACTGAGCTAATGGCACCTGCTGCTTCGCCAGGTTTCCAGCGACACTCGCCAAGCACTTGTGCCAGCCATGACCGGCACCGCGGTGAGGAGGGGACAGAAAGACGGGGACCCTCGTGTCTATACAAACAAGGCCCGGAGAGAAGGGCTCCCACTCACCTCTCCACCTCGTAGGACTCGGTGGTGTTGATGAAGACTGAGCTGGGCAGGGGCACCTGGAGGGAGGGCAGCGTGGTCAGCTGCATGGTCTGTATGCGCCCGTGGCCAGCGACCCCCACCCCCACCGGCTGCCAGCCTGTGCCGAGATCCTAGGCTCTGCACCAGGTTCTGTCCCCTCAGCGCCAGGTCTGGGGGCTCCTGGCTGAGCCGGCCATGGGGGACTCCGCCCGCAGCCCTCCTGCAGCGCCCCCCTCGCTGCGCCGCTTGCCTTTTCATAGTCTTCATCCGAGTCCTTCCCAGAGTCCTTCCCACCCGGGTCGTCCTGCGAGGCGTCAGCCTGCGAGGGTAGGCGGGGCTTTTCGAAGGAGAAGCTCCTGAAACTCTGCCCGTCGGGGGGTGACCGCCTGGAAGGGGAGCAAGGTCACATCCATCACACAGGGCGGCCCCCCAGCTCCCCTCCACACCAGCCTGCGCCAGCTCGGCCTGGGCACACGGGGTCTGGCTGCCACAGCCTGTGGCTGCCACAGCCTGTGGCGAAGGCCCACGGCCACAGCGTCTGCGAGGCAGTGTGACGGCTCTGAGGCAGCAGGAATCGCGGGACCTGGAAGCCCCAGGGGGGGTCAGGCTGCCGGTGACACTGCCGGGCTGCTGGGGCCTGAGCTCGGACGCTGTGGAGCCGCCAGGGCGGATGGGTGGCGGGTGTGAAGGGCTGAGCCACGTGTGGCCCGGCGGCTCGGGGAGAATTAAGGAGCCCGCGCAGGACCAGCTGCTGGATCGTGGGTGAGACTGTGCCACGAGTCGACCCTGGTCCCAGGCCCAGGTCCCAGGCTCCGCAGTGACAGTCTGCACCACTGTGGCCCCTCATGAAACAAGTGAGGCGGCAAGGGGTCCCCCCAGGCCCCTCCCACAGGAGCAGGCCTAACAAGAGCCCTGGGGCCCTGGCCGGGTGGCTCATTGGTTGGAACATCATCCCGGACACCAACAGGTCTCGGGTTCGATTCCCGGTGGGTACCGGAGGCAACGATCGATGTTTCTCTCTCTCAATCTCCTTCTCCCTTCCTCTCTCTCTTAAATCATTAAAAATAATAATAATAAAAATAAACACCGCCTCAGATAAGGATAAAAAAGAGAGTCCTGGGGGGAAGGGTGCCGTGGCCGAGGGTGCTGGGGGCCCGGTTTAGCGCACCCACTCGAGGCGCACCCTGTGGCCCCCAGGGCTTCACTGCTGTGGGTCCCGGCATCTCTGACCACAGGCTGCTGACACTGGGAGTGGGGGCACCGGGGCTCCTGGCACTGCCCAGCAATAAAGCAGAAAGCATTTCGAGCAGGCCTGGGGGAGTCACCGCCACGCTCCACATTCCGGCAAGTTCCCACTCCGGGAGGGTGGCGAGGCAGCTCCCATGGCTCCAGAGCCAGGGGCACCCCCAGGGCCCAGGCAGGGTCCCAAAGGCTCACAGCCCGAGCTCTGTCCCCCAGGCCTCTCCCAGGGCAGGCGGCCACCCTGCCAGCCCCTCCCGACCCCAAAGGCCCTGGCCAGGCACAGCAGGGGCTCAGAAAGCCTGTGCCCACGGCCCCCTCACCCACGGTGCCCGAGGCAGCCTTGAGCCCCAGGCCCACCACGCTGGGCTGACGTGCCCACGTCAAGGTGGGACATGCTCGGACCCGGGTCAGGTGCAGAGGCTGCTGGGCCGAGGCAGAGCCTTCCTCCCCCGGGCAGGGCCGACCCCCCAGCGTGGGGAGGGGGCTGGGTGCAGGGAGAGCTGGCAGCACTCACTGGAGGTGAGGCAGGGGCGGCTTCTCCGGCCTGGGCAGGACCGTGGACCGCGCTGGGGGCTCGGGCACGGGCAGCTTCAGGGCAGGAGGCCTGGGTGCCACAGGGGGCACGAAGAGTCCAGGCCGGGCCGTCTCCCTCAGGGGCTCCTCCTCCACTGCCATCAGGAACTTGGGCTTGTTGGCTGGCACGGGTGGGGGCTCGGGCGTGGGCGGCCCGCGGGGCGACAGGTGGAAGGACTTGAGTTTATCGCAGCTCCTGGAGGTGGCCGCAGCCACACCGGCAGAGCTGGCTCCGGGGCTGGGGACGCGGGGCTCCGGGCTGGGGCTCTCAGGGAAGCACGGGGGTCGGCGGAGGGTGGGCAAGCTGGGCAGGTTGCCCACCGGGGGGTCACTCATCCTCCGGGAGGCAGCCGGCACCCTGGGGCCAGGCTCGGGCCACCTCGGGCCCAGCAGGTCCCTCTTGAAGTCCTCCGGAGCCGCGCCCACCTCAGGGAGGCCGCGCTTCGGGGGCGGGGGTGGCAGCAGAGGGCCCGGGCCCCTGGAGGTGAAGGAGTGGGCCCGGGGCATGTCGGAGAAGGCGGGCTTCCTGGGCACGGGCACGGGAGGCGGGGGGTAGGCTGGCGGGTGCGTCAGGGCATCTGCGGAGCAAAGAGACCCAGTGGGTGAGCAAGTCTCACTGGTGAGGCGGGACCAGCCCCCCCTGCTGGTACCAGGTGCCGGGTCAAGTGCGTGTGCCGCCCTGGAGAGGCCCGCTGAGCACTTCCCAGGCAGCCTTCCCCTGGGGTCTGACCCAGCCCACGCCCTGGTCACCGCCCCTTCCCCCGCGTGCGGCAGCCTGAGCAGGCTCCCTGAGACCCAGAGGTCACACCAGGAGCCATGGGGTGCCAGCGGCCAAGGGGGAGAGGAGGCAAGGAGGACGCGGGGGAGCTGGCCTCGCTGCGGCGGGATTCCCACCAGGGAGGGGGCGGGGCGGCTCGGAGGAAGACGAGGGCAGTGTAAGGTGCCCTGGGACACGGAGGCGACACTGACGAGCTGTGGGGCACAGAGTCCAGCTGGAGGTGTCGACAGCCCAGCGAGGACATCGGCTGTGGCCCAGGTGGGACGGGAGGAGTGCACCAGGCCCGAGCCCTGGAGGCCCTCGGACGGGGGGACGGTACTGGGGCTGCCGGCAGGTGGGAGGGGCCTGGGAGGGCCTGTGTGGCCTTGAGCTCCATGGAGTGCTGCCAGCCACAGGACGTGGACAGCCTGGCTCCCACCCCAAGTGGGCCCTCCCCTGAGCGGCAGGAGCGGCAGCCAGAGCACGCGCCTCCTCTGCTCTGTTCCCTCTGACACGCCGGCCATTGTGGAGAGACCGAGGCCCAGGGTGGGGCTGGCAGCCCCAGCCCCTGTCCTCTGCCCAAAGCACCCCCAGCCCACCTCTGGCCACCTACCCTCGGGCTTCCCGGGCTCGGGGGAGTCGGGCTCCAAGTACGAGTCGTCCTCGTCGTCCTGCTCGTAGTCTGTGGGCAGATGGGGGTCAGAGCAGGGCGGCCCAGGCGGGCTGCACCCGGGGCGGAGGGGCGAGGCTCAGAGCGCTGCAGTCAGGGAGGCCTGGGCAGGGCTGAGGGCAGGATGCGCGGGCTGGGGAGCCACAGGGACAGAGCGGGCAGCGGCCAGGTCTGGGTGTGGAGCAGGACGGGGGAGCACGCCGAGACGCCCTCACCTTCGTTGTCCGTGGGGTATGGAGAGAGGCTGATGTCCACAGGCCGCTCAATGGCACCGTAGAAACTGTCTGTGTCCGAGCTGGAGTCACTGGGGTCGGGGGGAGGAAGGGGGGCAGTGAGCACAGGGCAGCGTTCCCTGCACTCACAGACAGACACACCGCAAACATGTGGACACACAGACACGACAAACACAGGCACGTGCACACACCACACACTGATGTGGGCATATGCACAGATAAACACAGGACACAGACACAGGTGAACACAAATGAGGACAGACAGGCACGCAGACACACAGACACGCTCCATCGAGGCACAAGGACCAGCACGGAGACGAGGCTGTGCTGCCTCCCCCGCCCCGTGGTTTCTGCCACAAGTGTGGCCCCGAGTGGCCAGATGCTGCCCCGCCTCAGGGCCCCGTCCCCCCTGCTCCTGCCCTGGAAGCTGTCGTCTCTAGGCCGGCCTACCGCAGGGCACCAAGCCTACCGCAGGGCACCGGGCCTACCGCAGGGCACCGGGCCTACCGCAGGGCACCGGGCCTACCGCAGGGCACCTACCGCAGGGCACCGGGCCTACCGCAGGGCACCGGGCCTACCGCAGGGCACCTACCGCAGGGCACCGGGCCTACCGCAGGGCACCTACCGCAGGGCACCTACCGCAGGGCACCGGGCCTACCGCAGGGCACCGGGCCTATTGCAGGGCACCTACCGCAGGGCACCGGGCCTACCGCAGGGCACCTACCGCAGGGCACCTACCGCAGGGCACCAGGCGTACCGCAGGGCACCTACCGCAGGGCACCGGGCCTATTGCAGGGCACCGGGCCTATTTGCAGGGCACCTACCGCAGGGCACCGGGCCTACTGCAGGGCGGCAGGGCACATACACAGTCGACACGAGCCTACCAGCTAGGGCTCAGGGCACCGGGCCTATCGCAGGGCAAGGCTCCGAGACCTTACCGCAGGGCTCCGGGCCTTCGCAGGGCACCGGGCCTACCGCAGGGCACCTACCGCAGGGCACCTACCGCAGGGCACCTACCGCAGGGCACCGGGCCTACCGCAGGACCCTGGCTGGAGCTGAGGGCTGGAGCTCCAGGGCAGGCAGGGACCTGCAAGGTGGCCCTGGGGGTGCCGGGCCTCCTCTGGGTCCCCGTGGCCTCATCTATGAAAGGACGGAGGGGTCTGTTCTGCCCAAGAGCTCCTGCTGCTGGGCCGCCTCGGTGAGGTCGCCGAGACCCAGATGGACTGAGCGGTGTCCCAGGGACTCACTCCGGAGGCGGCCGGGGCGGACACGGAGGGGCAGCGCCCAAAGCTCTGGCTGCTGCCAATGCCGGGCCTCCAGTGGGCAGCTGAGAGCATGTGACCCCCAAGGAGGAACTACCAACAGGGCACACACACATGCGCACATACTCAGGTGCACGCGTACACAGGATGACAGACGTGGGGGCGGGGAGTGGGCACGGGGTGGAGCCGGGCCCACCTGGCGTCCAGCGGCAGGTCCTTCTTCTCGTGGAGGTGTCCGATCTCCCTGCGCAGCAAGGCCATCCAGCTCTGTGGGGCAGCGGGGCCCAGTGGGCATGTGCTGCCCAGGGCACGGCCCTCCTCCCTCAGGCCCTGCTGTGCCCACCAAGGTCGGGGAGGCCCCTCAGCCCATGCAGGGCTCCTCCTGAGGGCAGGTCCCGGGCATGTGGTGCTGGTCGCTGGGTGTGAGGACGGGCACTAAGGCCGGCCCCTGCCGCTGCCCCCGGCTAATCCCGCCCCCAGGCCCGGCACCTTGCCGCTGCCCACGGCTAATCCCGCCCCAGGCCCGGCCCCTGCCGCTGCCCACGGCTAATCCCGCCCCCAGGCCCGGCCCCTGCCGCTGCCCACGGCTAATCCCGCCCCAGGCCCGGCCCCTGCCGCTGCCCCCGGCTAATCCCGCCCCAGGCCCGGCCCCTGCCGCTGCCCCCGGCTAATCCCGCCCCAGGCCCGGCACCTTGCGCTCGTCCTCAG